TGATATTATTACTGTTACGACATAGGAAGTCACGTAACTTTGGTAACACGTGAGGAATTTCTCGAATAATCATGAATTATCGGGGAAGACCGAGTTTGTTCGAGACGCCCTCTTTTTAGCATATAAGCCTGGCAGAGAAAGTCTGCTGGAATGATGAGTGAAGAGAGTTCCCGGTAAGTTACGATTCTGTTTCGAGCTAGTGTGTGAAGTTATTGGGGAAAAAGAAACTGATTTAATCAAGAAAGGACTTGTATCGCTGAAGTTCATCGGAAAGAATTTCTACCGGAAATTAACAAACAAGCAGATACGTAACATTACTTTGTAACCTGTACTTTTAGAATGTTCTGTTAGTAGAAAACTACGTACGTTATACATGAAATATTAGCTTTCGAGCGCTCCAATGTCGGTAACTCAGATAACTAACATACTTCAATATAGAAGAACGCAGTTAGATAACTAACATACTTCAATATAAAAGAACTCAGTTAGATAACTAGCATACTTAATTTATTAATAAAAGAACTTAGTTAGATAACTAACATACGTAAGTTATTAATAAAAGAACGACAGAATCTCTATTCTCTGGTTTTGTATTGTTCACTGATTTTATGCTAAAATAAATAAAAACAGATCAAGGAGATTAATCCATTCCATGACACACACAAACTAATAAGGAAAAGCTGATAACAACGTCTGGTTACTAGGAAGGAATTTTTACTTTAACACATTCACATTCAAAGGACAAAAAGTTTCTACACATAAACTGTGAATCCTGTTTTCGTGACGCATATAAATCCACAAAACAATGACCTGTTGCTTGAACAACAACACCGCTTAAGAAACAAACTAACAACCTCCTTCTATAATTAAACACCTATACTCTGGTTATTGTTGGTTTTCTTGATTTTCTTTTACTCATTCGTGAAATTTGTGCACGTTTTTATTTTAGTTTTATTATTTATTTCACAAGTTCTCGACTTTTTTATATTAAAGTATGCTAGATATCTTACTGAGTGAAGCTTGTTTTGTGATTTTGTTTCTCGATCTACAGGTGACAATTATTTGGGCTCGTGCGAAGAAGAGGACGACGAACGAGAAAAAAAGCAAAAGAAAAGAGGACTCTTTCCTAAAGTTGCCACCAACCTTTTGAGGACGTGGTTGTTCCAGCATCTCTCTGTAAGTGTTATGTAATGTACTGGTCCACTATAAAGCAATGTATGCGTGTGCATGATCATGTGATCTCAGAATGACCACGTTCTATAAATGGGAAATATTTGGTATGGGAAGGAGGGAGGAATATTAAAGCTCGTGATGAGTTACTCTTTCCCCATTTGACCAGAAAACAAATACAATTATTGTTGCCCAGATACAATAGTTTTGGCCCGGCATGGCCAGGTGGTTAGGGCGCTCAACTCGCAATCTGCGGGTCGGGTTCGAATCCCCGTTACACCAAACATGTTCGCTCTTTTAGTTGTGGGGGCGTTATAATGTGACGGTCAATCCCACTATTCGTTTGTAAAAGAATAGCCCAAGAGTTGGCGGTGGGTGATAATTACTAGCTGCCTTCCCTCTAGTCTTACACTGCTAAATTAGGGACGGCTAGCGCAGGTAGCCCTCGTGTAGCTTTGCGCGAAATTCAAAACAAACAATACAATAGTTTAGACCGGTTTAATCCTATATTAACCCAACTGGGGTCATATTGTGTCACTTAGAGAACACGGGTTGATGCACGGTGTTACATATATAGTTCAGAAGTTTGAAATTTGTGTTATTTTATAGGGATGCACTGGTACCCGGGCAGATATTCGGCCCCGGCCGGGTATTGGGCTACCCGGTAATACTCGGAAAGTAAAACTAACAAGTTTTTTATTTTTTGAATTTAAAAGTAACCTAATTTATAATTTAATTCATCTGGCTTATAACATAATTAGTTCTTTTCCCTTTTTCCATGAAAAAATACAAAACATAACGGTTGTTTTAAAAAAAATAGTTTTCCTGTACAATTAATTGATAGTTTTATCACAAATTATTTATAAGTTTTCAACACTCCAGAAATTAGTAAACAGGTTGAAAACAAAGAAATAGTTTTACCATTCTATAGAATTAAATACGGCGTATTGTAGAGCCCACATAGCCAAAGTTACACCTTGGACATGTAAATTTATATATGACGTAAGAGCGATGCGCTATAGGAATTCTGTCTTTATATTTAGAATAATTAATAAAATGAAACATCGGTTTAAAGACAATTTTAAACTTAATAAGTGGGTACATTTTATTATTCAGAATATACTTTTTTCCCGTATCTACAAACTTTCCTTACATCTTCTGTATCTACAGACTTTCCTTACATCTTGTGTATCCACAAACTTTCCTTACATCTTGTGTATCTACAAACTTTCCTTACATCTTCTGTATCTACAGACTTTCCTTACATCTTGTGTATCCACAAACTTTCCTTACATCTTGTGTATCTACAAACTTTTCTTAGTGTGTAACATTTCTTTACTATCCACAATGTTGTGTCACAGTCCTGTGAACAGTGATGAAGGATGGACGACTGATTACATAACACAGTGTGTCACAGTCCTGTAAACAGTGATGAAGGATGGACGACTGATTACATAACACAGTGTGTCACAGTCCTGTAAACAGTGATGAAGGATGGACGACTTATTACATAACACAGTGTGTCACAATCCTGTAAACAGTGATGAAGGATGGGCGACTAATTATATGTTGTGTTTTGCGCATGCTCTTTAGAAGATGTAAGGAAAGTTTGTAGATACAGAAGATGTAAAGAAAGTTTGTAGATACAGAAGATGTAAGGAAAGTTTGTGGATACAGAAGATGTAAAGAAAGTTTGTAGATACAGAAGATGTAAGGAAAGTTTGTGGATACAGAAGATGTAAGGAAAGTTTGTAGATACAGAAGATGTAAGGAAAGTTTGTAGATACAGAAGATGTAAGGAAAGTTTGTAGATACACAAGATGTAAGGAAAGTTTGTAGATACACAAGATGTAAGGAAAGTTTGTGGATACAAAAGATGTAAGGAAAGTTTGTAGATACACAAGATGTAAGGAAAGTTTATAGATACACAAGATGTAAGGAAAGTTTGTGGATACACAAGATGCGTCCAGAATTAAATGTTAATCAAACAGTCAGTAGACACTAAAATGACGTCAGTATAACGTGAGCATGTCATGAATCATGAGAAGAATTATGCACTCTGTAGGCTACAACACTCTTAATTTTGGTTTTATTTACTCTTGAAACAACAATTTCGGGGACTCTGCGGAAGTGCAATCTCTTTCGTTGAGCGAGATATAAAATATTCGACTCGTTAGTTCTCAAGGACACCTAATCACCCTTACTATACCCCTGATGTGGTGGTATACGTTCACTCAGGTAAACTGTAGACACACCTAATCACCCTTACTATACCCCTGATGTGGTGGTATACGTTCATTCAGGTAAACTGTAGACACACCTAATCACCCTTACAATACCCCTGATGTGGTGGTATACGTTCATTCAGGTAAACTGTAGACACACCTAATCACCCTTACAATACCCCTGATGTGGTGGTATACGTTCATTCAGGTAAACTGTAGACACACCTAATCACCCTTACAATACCCCTGATGTAAAACTCGTGGTGTATACGTTCACTCAGGTAAACTGTAGACACACCTAATCACCCTTACAATACCCCTGATGTGGTGGTATACGTTCACTCAGGTAAACTGTAGACACACACCTAATCACCCTTACTATACCCCTGATGTAAAACTCGTGGTGTATACGTTCACTCAGGTAAACTGTAGACACACCTAATCAC